TTTGTGTTTAAATTATTGTTATGAAATGTTTAATGTGTGTGTGTTTACATCAATATTGAATCAGTTATATTCCAATGAATTTGTAAAAAAGAAAGAAAAAAAAAAGATACATGACAAACTACTGAAACCGTTTGCTCTTGAATTTCATTTTAAAGACTGCAGGGATTTAAAATCCGTGCCTTATTCAAATTATAAGGAGTTTAGTTTAACTGTACATAATGGAGTGTAAGGTAAAGGTAAAAGAAGAAAGATCATGTATGTGCAGGTGAGATATAAAATAGGGACCATCTGTTAAACCCCATGGCATCATCTACTATTAGCTGGGCAAAATGCCCCTTTCCTAAAAATACATTTAACATTTCAACTGTAACCATTTATTTCCTTTATAGTTTGCTACCCTAAGCATGGCCATCATCCACCTAAAAAATGTTTCTTCTCCAAACTTTGATTTTTTGTGTCAGCTATTAGACATTGATATTGGGGGTTGTCTTCCCCCATGTTACCCTAGCTTCTTAAAATCAGATTTTAAACCTATCCCTAACCTTAACCCTAAGCTTAACCTCACTGCTAACCTTATGCCTAACCCTAAACTTAAATTAAGACCTTATGCCTAACCCTAACGTAAAATTGGCCCCCCAAATGACAACCTCACATCTAAATTCATGAAATTTGACTATATAGCCTATTTTGGCTTTGTGGCTGTGGTAGGCTAACTAGTGACAAAACCCTTTGGTCCGGCATCCCAGTACTCTAAAATACTTCATTTAATAGCTAGCTAATCTTATCTGATGTACAGCAGATAATAATGAATATGATTGTTTACCATAATGAAGCATTCAATTTTTTCCATCTATCAAATGATAATGACAAAAATTATAAGAAAGGTATCAGATTTTGTTTCGAAATCACATTATATGATGAATCTATGACTTGATATAATCAATCAATCAATCAATCAATTTTATTTTATATAGCCCTTCTTACATCAGCTAATATCTCGAAGTGCTGTACAGAAACCCAGCCTAAAACCCCAAAACAGCTAGTAATGCAGGTGTAGAAGCACGGTGGCTAGGAAAAACTCCCTAGAAAGGCGAAAACCTAGGAAGAAACCTAGAGAGGAACCAGGCTATGAGGGGGTGGCCAGTCCTCTTCTGGCTGTGCCGGGTGGAGATTATAACAGAACAGCCGAAATCTTAAATAGCCGATTACTGTATATTTTATGAGTAATAAAATAAAGAAATGAGTTATGTTATTTAATAATGAACTATGGGTTATCTGTTTTTATGTGACAACCGCAGTATCAATTTCTAGGTGTCAGGCAGTGACAGTGGCAGTGGCGGCTCCTGAAAAAATTCTCAGGAGGGCAATTTTTCTGATGATTTAGGTGACCTACACACATTTAAAAAAAGATATGTCCAGCAACAACATGAAGACAGGGGCAGCATATAAGTCAATACCAGAAGCATTTTATTGACTGATCTCAAAAGTGTTGGCTTACCAGGGTTGGTGGAGCCCTCAGTTTCATCTTTGCCTCGCAAAGCTAACTCAAACACTCCGCAAAAACTTCACACACTGGATTAGCCGGCTGAGGAGTGGCGGTTCTTGCTAATGTCGTAGTAAATATATTTGTTATAGTGCATATGGAATAATGATATGTTGAGTAAAATGTTGTGCTAAGATCTATTTAGGTCAGGAGCTGGTTATAAGTTCGGTTCCTATCCAATAACAATGGACAAAAGGGTCCTATCTTGTCAGCCTTGTCAGCAGGTGGCCAAGGACACACACCCACGCCATAGGCCTCTCAGTTCTTCCAATCACGAGTTCTTGCTCTGAGGACACACACAAACACACACACACACACATCATCACTGTTAAACACACACCACACACACACATCATCACTGGTTAAACACACACACACACACAAAAATCCCCTCTCTTAGGCTGAACATTTGAAGACAGAAGAACCCGACTCAGAGCCAATGCAACAGTGACAGTAGCCTGGAGGTGACCTCGCCCAACTCATCAGGACCAATCAGAAGATCAAACTACTAGATTGAACCTACTTCATTTATTGCATAAAATGTCTGCACACAATGTTTCGGGGCTCTCTTCAGATAATAATAATAATAATAATAATATGCCTTTAGCAGACGCTTTTATCCAAAGCGACTTACAGTCATGCGTGCATACATTTTTGTGTATGGGGTGGTCCCGGGGATCGAACCCACTACCTTGGCGTTACAAGCACCATGCTCTACCAGCTGAGCTACAGAAAGTGGATACTCATGGATGCGCATTGCAATTGTAAAATGTCAACACAATTGGAGACACCACGTCATTTTGGAGACATGTTATTGACAGTAAACTATGTAGATGCGACTGCTAACTAACTAAAACATTTTAGCTGGCTAGCTAATCATCTTAGCTAAATGTGGGGCAAACAATTCAGTTATTACCGTTAATTTTAGGGATTGGGGTGAAAGAAATCGAGTTACAAGTGATACTTACGATATACTGTATTGACAATATCGCAATATTTTTAGCGCTAGTTGGCGGTACCTGCACCAAAACACCATTATTGTTCCTTCATGCTTGTTCTCAATCTTTTTACTTGGGAGCCAATTTTTTTTCAGCACTTTTATTTCCATGACTGATCAAAACTCGTTCTCATGGCTTTGATCCCTCTGCAACAGACATATGGTGCCAATAAAATCACATAGAATCGCAATCTTAGGGAAACATGAGACTCGCATGCTGATGCATATATCTTTTATT